ATACGACAAGTTTGACTTCGTCATTGGCAGATAAATTTTAAGCACTCTTTGACAAAAAAATAGTTAATATCGTAAGAAAAGCTTTCGCGTTGTTTTGACACTGTTTAATTACGCATAATAACATATGCAGTATTCGTGGTACCATAGGTAGTATCCATAGTCTGATTACAGCGACCTAACCAGAATGAGACGTTGTAACTGACTCCGATTGATGTGTGCACTTTGTGACTAAGATAATCGAGTACTGAAGCAGAGCCGTCCGCCCAGAAGTATGTGCCAGTATGAGAAACGTATTGTGTTGTCGAATTTGTTTCAGTGACAAAAGAAAACTGACTGTAACCTGTCACATAACAATAGGTCCAGTTCGTCATAGCGCTTTCGAAACCGCCATTGGATAGTAATTCAGTGGTTGTGCCCTGTTGAATAATTGAGACATCGTCCAATATCCAATAATCGGGATCATTACGCAATGCAAATGTGATGGTTGTTTGAGTGGCAGTGGCTGTGTAACTGTAGGAATAAAATGTGTAATTTCTGGCTATACCATTGTAAATGGATAGCAGGACAGTTGGACTGACGTAACCGGACGAGCAAGAGTCATAACTAAGCGCTAAAAGTAAATAAACTCTTTTGAGCGGGGTTAGTTCTTTTTGAAATCTACTCGCTCGATTTCGATCCGAGTGCGTGCTGTATCTTTGTCCTGGAAATTGACTAACACAAAGACTAATGAAGTGTGTAGTTTCCAAGTAATCATCTCGCATAGAGCTTTGAAGTGCACAATTTAACTTACTGACGGTAGTGGTCGTGGTGCTCGAGGTTGTACTGGACGTCGTAGTACTCGAGGTTGTGCTGGACGTCGTAGTACTCGAGGTTGTGCTGGACGTCGTAGTACTCGAGGTTGTACTGGACGTCGTGCTAGTCGAGGTTGATACAGTACTGGTAATACCTGTAGTTCGCGTACTATTATCGCTTGTTGTTGATGAGACAAATCCTGCTAACTTATAGGTATACTCAATTCGGTACAGGAATATTTATAAATAATTACCTGTTCGTGAGAAATAAACTCCTAAAAGTGCACCCAATAATGTCCCACTTATAATTAAACACAATAATATTGCAAAACCGCATATTTTCATTATTCTTTTTCGGCGCAGAGAATATAGCCTAACAAGCACAAAGACGAAAATCTGTTTGTCGTTTTCTTTTAGTCTTACCTAGATATTTTTGGGTCTGTGGTTCGATTTTGTAGCTTTTCTTTTGACTTGTCAAAACTATTTTCATATTCATCCAATGTCGAAAACCATAAGTCCCAGTTCGACGGCGCACTCAGTGGACTGGCTACGGACAAACGAATAGGTGAAGTAGAATTTGAGTTTTGTGGCTGTTGTAACATCCTTAGTGGGCTGGCTACGGACAAATGAATTGGTGAAGTAGAATCTGAGTTTTGTGGCTGTTGTGACATCCTTAGTGGACTGGCGACGGACAAATGAATAGGTGAAGCAGAATTTGAGTTTTGTGGCTGTTGTGACATCCTTAGTGGACTGGCGACGGACAAATGAATAGGTGAAGCAGAATTTGAGTTTTGTGGCTGTTGTAACATCCTTAGTGGACTGGCTACGGACAAACGAATTGGTGAAGTAGAATCTGAGTTTTGTGGCTGTTGTAACATCCTTAGTGGACTGGCTACGGACAAACGAATTGGTGAAGTAGAATCTGAGTTTTGTGGTTGTTGTAACGTCCATTGCTGATGAAGTAAACCTGACTAAAAAACAGGAGAAAAATTAAAACTATTCCCTGCTGATCAATGAATGGCTTACCATCGGCTCAACTGCACGCATCTCCACAGAGAATGTAACTTCTAAAAAGCAATAAAATTAATTTCTTGGTAATATATCCAATATGGTTATTGGCTTCTGTAGTTTTACAGGTTTTGAATACTTAAAAGAAATAATTTGATTTTTGTTTAAAAGTAAACAAAATAATAAGAATGTACTCGCCTGAACACCACTTTGGCATCCTGTGATTATTATATTTAATCTTTGACGTTGTAAACACCATTAACAACGAAATTGGATGTCATCATACAATTCGCTCTTGTACTCCTGCCGAAAGTAATATCTTTGTAAGATGCACGTAATTCAAGGTTTGAGTAAAATTTATTTTCGAACATATTATACACCGTTGGATAGAGGATCTATTCGTGTAGTTTTGAAGCTGAGTATCTAGCGAATCTAACCGTGTAAAAATATTGGCTCTACTACTGCTACGGAAGTCTGTGAGAATTTTGCAAAATTGGGTGCCGCCTTTGAGCCATATACATTGGAAAAGTTTTTGTGAATAGACGTTTTTTGAATAGAATTGAATAGAAAATTTTTGAAACCTTCCCTTTTTCCCCTTTCCGCATTTTGAGTTTTTCGACCGGAAAAAAGTACTGTGGAACAGAGTAATAGTAAAACATGAAGACACCCACAGACGCCACACAGACATCCAAGGATGTGGCTGTCTGTGTGCTGTCTGTGGGTGTCTTCATGTTTTACTATTACCCCATGGAACATATATTCGTGATCGCCTCGAAATCCTCTATCCAACGGTGTATAATATGTTCGGAAATAAATTTGTACTCGAACTTTAAATTACATGCATCTTATGATATACTCAGACGTCACACCCATCAAGCATGATACTATAGTTAGTACAAGAACACTTATTGCACACTTTCCACATATTAATTTCGATCACTGTATTGTCCAAAAAAAGTACTTAATATGTATCTGTCATTAACCAAGTCAACATTGACACATCGTGAGAGTGCGATGTGACCTTGCTGATAGGAGAACGGAATAAAGACAGTCAAAATTTTCTTTTTCGTTCTCAACATCATTCGCTTGAAACTTTTGTTTCTACTAACAAAAGCAACATGTGAAGCAAGACAGACTTAAATGACAGAAAAGAATATATTAAAAGTAATATTTTACAAGTTTATAGAAAAAATTTCATTCTCCTACTATGAAAATATAAAATTTTTGAACTCTATTCTCTGTGCTCTATTCATAAATTCTGATTGAGTAGACTCTCATCTGTCGACTGCATAAGATTTTCGTCGTTCTTCATTCCAAGTATTATGTTGTGAAAGATGTTTTTCCTACATATACACTGAGAAATTCTTAGTGTGCTTTCAAACGAAGATAAACGGTTGAAATCAATATGCGTGTTACATGCGAAAGTTAGGCTAACTCGTGTCCATCCGATTCAATCCAACTAAAACTCAAGACTCGAGTTCTTTTTTAAAACGAAGCTTATTCTGTCGCGACCATAATCTCAAGTGTTCCATCTTCGTGGCCTGTCCGGCTAACCGTCAACCGATATAATGAAACTAGGAGTTGAATGTTTTTAAAAACTAATAGCGTCAGATTGTAGAGCACTCTCTCTTACATAAGGAACTATAATTTGTTTCATTGCATCATGGATAGAACAAGAAAAAATAAAGCTCAACCACAGTCGTTCATGAATTCTAATTATAGGGGCATATATCGTCGCTAAACAAAATGCATGTGCACAACAAACGAAAAGCTTAATCTACAAGTATTTGGTATGTAACAAATCTAGAGAAGTTAGACTTCATTTTGGCCAACTCGTTTATCTCTCAGGTCTTATTGTTTTGTTAAAACAGTTTTATCAAAATCTCCTCAAATGTTATTACGATTTAGAGCCAACAAGCGAATAAAAATAAATTTTTGTACAGCAGCAGTCATTTATTTAATTTAATAATTTAAATTTATCTTGACGTTTCGACTCTTCATAGAGTCATCTTCAAAAGTGAATTACAAACTATATACAGTTACTATATACAGTAATTACAAACTATATACCTCTCTAAAAAAAATCCGTAGCTTACAAAACGAATATCGGTTTTGGCATTTGCTCCTAATAGAAACCGATATCCGTATCGTATGGTTCTGCATAACCGTTTCGCAGAATACGTTTCAACGTTTTTTC